GTATGTATATATATATATATATAAATCAGAAGTAGATAATAGGGACCCTTAGTAGGAATCCCTATTTTCTACTTCTGATATACATATACATATATATATATATCTGTATATTATAGGTGCAGCATTAAAACCAGAAACAATGTGATAGCAGCTATGACATAAATATATCCTCTCACAGGAGGCGAGACCGAGGACATGCTCTCTTGTTTCCGCGCTGCCGCCGCAGCAGCGTTGACGTCTATTGCTGTGCCCCCCACACAAGCATACAAAACACATTCAGAAAATATAAAACCATATTTACGATATTTACAACTCATATGTAGCGCGCGTTGCCACGACGACGCGTAAACACCACCGATGGGTTTTCGTGTTCCCCCGATATTTTGCATGCCTCTCCGCACGCTCTGGCATACTGAAGCGCCCCCTGGTGGCCCGCGATGTGACGAGAGCGTAGGCGGAAGTGACGTTGATACTGACTAGGCGTTTTGCCTCCTCCCTCCCTCGTTGCTCCCCCCCCTCCCTCCCCCCTATTTCCCCCCCGCCCCCCGTCGTCATTCCAAACAAGTAGAAACAATACTCGCGAATAAACGAATGCTTAGCAACCGAGACGGCGATCACAGGCGACGCGGTTTTGCTTCGCTAGCGCCACCTGTACGCATCGCGCCGCAGTGTCCCGGCACGTAGCTATTGTGGCGCCCTCTGTAGCTATTGCAGCGCCCTCTGTGCTGACCTCTAGTGGTCTTCTTACAGATGACTGACATCCTTTGATGATCATTAATTGCTGGCGCCCTCTATATCGCTCGCGCTCGCAGGCTAGCGAACTGCGCGACACAAATGTTTGTCTACACAGGCGTCCTCTAGCGAACACACGAACGAAAGCAGACACACGACTGGTTCCCGAAGTGTGTCGTCATCTGATCAGTGGCGCCCCCTGGCTGGTTGGACCAGAGCACGTTTCCTCCGTCTTCTAGCTTGTGAGCGAGATTCGTGGCGCCCCCTGGTTAGTCGGACCAGGGCATGTCGGCTTGGTCTTCGAGCGTGAGAGCGACATTGTCTAGCTTGTGAGCGAGATGCAGTTTCTGACAGAGATGGTCTTCTTCCAGAGTCTCCATCACCTGCAAGAAACAGATAACAGGTGAGATAGATAACAGAAGTGATAGATGGCACATGAGATAGATGACAGGTGATAGGTAATATAGGTGAGATAGATGACAGTTGAGATAGATGACAGGTGAGATAGATGACAGGTGATAGGTAATATAGGTGAGATAGATGACAGATGAGATAGATGGCACATGAGATAGATGACAGGTGATAGGTAATATAGGTGAGATAGATGACAGTTGATAGGTAATATAGGTGAGATAGATGACAGGTGAGATAGATGGCACATGAGATAGATGACAGGTGATAGGTAATATAGGTGAGATAGATGACAGGTGATAGGTAATATAGGTGAGATAGATGATAGGTGAGATAGATGACAGGTGAGATAGATGGCACAGAGATAGATGATAGATGAGATAGATGATAGATGAGATAGATAACAGGTGATAGGTAATTATAGGTGAGATAGATGACAGTGTAAGGATAGATGGCACATGAGACTAGATGACAGGTGAGAGGTAATATAGGGTGAGCTGATAGATGCAGGTGATAGGTTAATATAGGTGAGATAGAATGACACAATGAGATAATGATGCAGGGTGATAGGTGAATATAGGTGAGACTAGATGATAAGGTGAGATAGATGACATGAGATAGATGATCAGGTGATAGGTAATATAAGGTGAGATAGATGACAGGGACAGGTAATATAGGTGAAGATATGATGAGCAGGTGACCAGGTAATGATAGGTGAGCATAGATGACAGGTGATAGGTAATATAGGCGGATAGTATGATGGCGTGAGATAGATGGGCAGTCAATGAGAGCAGATGACAAAGGGGGAATAGATGATAGATAAACAGTGAGCAACAAGATAACAGGTGAGATAACGAGATAACAGGTGAGATAACGAGATAACAGGTGATATGGTGACGATAGGGCGAGTGGCTAGCTATGATGAATGCTAATAGTTAATGAGTAGTTAGTTAATAGGTTAATTAGTTAATAGGTTCATGACTATCTAGTTAATTAGTTAATAAACTAGTGAGAGCTAGGTGGCTAGCCTAAGCGCGTGATGAGGATATAAGCGGGAGGTGATAAGATGTAGCATGTATTTGTAATACTTACAGCCATGCGTATGATACTTGACAACATAACATACAGCTGACTAACTGGGCAGCAATGTGTTAAACTCATCACCATACACCTGTAAAACACAGAAATACCACTGTAATCATAACACCTGTATAAACCACAGAAATGACACCTGTAATCACACAGCTGTAAAACACAGAAATTACACCTGTAATCATACACCTGTAAAACACAGCAAGTGTTAAACCCTATTACATAATAACGCATAAAAACGGGAAGACAAAATGGAGAGAGAGAGAAAGAGAGAAAGATAGACAGCGAAAGGGAGGGAGAGATAGAGAAAGAGAAAGAAAGACAAATGGATAGATAGATAGAGAGAGAGAGAAAGAGCGAGAGAGAAAGAGAGAGAAAGAGAGCGATATATAGATAAAGAGAGAGAGAGAGAGAAAGACAGACAAATGGATAGATAGATAGAGAGAGAGAGAGAAGAGAGTGAGAAGAGAAAGAGATGAGAGGAGAGAGAAGAGAGAGAAGAGGAGAGAGAGAGAGAGAGAGACATACACATACACTACACACACACCGCACGCACACACACCACACCACACACCGCACACACACACACACACCACACGCACACACAC